CTCTCTCTCTCTCTCTCTCTCTCTCTCTCTCTCTCTCTCTCTCTCTCTCTCTCTCTCTCTCTCTCTCTCTCTCTCTCTCTCTCTCTCCCCATCTCTCTATCTCTCTGACTTAATTTCAAGGAGATCAAAGATTTACCTCATCCCTCTGCAGATCTTGTCAAAAACTTTGGGCTCAGAAAGAGAGTATGCTAAAAAAATGATGATCTGATGTGGAATTGAATATATACACCGACAACTGAATGTGGACTGTGACATGAACCCAGAGAACACAGAAATGCAACAAAAATTAACTGATTTTTCCATCACTCCCCTTGCACTTCTTACTCTGTCACGCTCAGCCACCTTTGACTCTTGTGCTGCGATGGCCGCCTTTGACGACCACCGTTCACCATTGTTGCCCAATTATCTGCTGTATTTCAAGTTCCTTCGGTTATTTTTGTTCTTGCCGGAATTTGAACCAGGGACCAAACAAAGTCAGAACAGTTTGAGTGGAAGTGTTTTAGATTTTGGAAATTCTGTATCACCCCTCGTCATCACCATGCATTCTATCTGACTTGATTGGAAATCCATGCTGCAGGAAGATACATGGAAAGTGCGGAGATTGACCCTCTGATTGTCTGTTTCTTGGTGATCAGCTGCAGGCATGCCTGCAATGCCAGACGAGGAACTGGACGCCTTGGAAGAGGAGTTTGCACAGTTAGAGGCGCAGTTGATGCCTCATCGCAAGGAGACTGTGGTTGGCGAGGAAAAGCCTGAACAACCAACAGCAGCATTGTCGGTTATGGAAGACGCCGTTGAGCAGAAGAGCACCGCTGCAGCGATTACCAAGGAGTTTGAGGAGAAGCGAGCTAGGCCTGCGCCGCAACATACATCGAGTGTGGAGGTAGATGATGTGCAAAACAAACGCATCCCAGCTTTAGCATGAAGCAATCCAAAAGCAATGATGTTGGTGGAATGGTGAGTACTCTGGAGTGTTCCTTTGAAAACAAACCTGACAAAAAGATAATGTGGCTCCATTTGGGTTATATGGGTTTTCCAGTATCGGCCAGTCAGGAGCGAGGAACGCGCTGACAAGGGAAGATCTGGGGAAGGATGCATGCTTCCTTGCACCGACAGGTGATTCCGTCGACGTCGTACCCTGAGAGGCATGTTGATGTCTGATGCTGTTTATGACAGTCGGCAGAATGCCAGTCTCAAGGGTGCCCAGTTGCTACGTGTGATAGATGTTTTGGTTTACCTTGTCTAGCGTGGTCAAAGCATGAAGATGTTCCTGGGTACCATCCTTGGACCTTGGTACTATCCTTGGGCCTTGGTACCATCCAATACGATGTCCATTGGTACCATCCGTTGGACCATCCATGAAATTGGAATGCTACAAGGAACATTAGCTGCATGCTTCTGTTAACGGTGAGAATGGATCTGAAACTGCAGATCTTCAAGTATGAGGATTCCGAGAATGGAAGATGAGAATGCTGTGCGCTTGTGGGCCAACGCAAGAACAGCATTACAGTGATGTGATATGCAATGGTGGTGAGCTGTATTTCCTGTTCGGATTGGCTGATGCCTTGTGATGGGAATGTTGTCCGCTTGTGGTACAAAGCAAGGACGGCATTAATGCGATGGTGGGAAGTGCATTTTCTGTTCAGGTTCGCTGATGCCTTGTGCTTCCCCTCGGGGTCTGTACGCTGTGTGCGGCATGCATCCCGTCCGACCTCCTTCATGCTGCGTGAGCTATGACCAGCAATGGGTATTGTATACAGCAGAACCGGAAAGGTCCGAAGTGCATGATGCTTCTTTTGTGCTCTGGTTGGTTCGACGTCATATGTTGCTTTGGGGTCTCTGCCTTGTGTGTCGGAGTCCATCCTCCCCTTTTGCAGCTGTGTGATCGATCAGTTGTGCATCAGAGGAACGTGTGCCGCTACTGGAACCAACAGTCGGGGAGTGATTCAGGGCGGTATTTTGAACAGGAAGAAGAGAAGTGGGCACCAAATAGGCAATCAGTGGAAGTTGGAAAGGAGGCAGAACGAAGAACCAGAAGGAAAGAAAGAGGGGCGAGGACAATTGTGCACACTAAGGATGGAGAAGGGGAATATTTTACGATGGAGATGGGAAGGGGCCGCTCTGCACCTCTGTTCAGTGTTGTTGCTATTCTCTTATCGGTGTAGGGAAGGAAGCAGCGAGTGAGGGAGTCTGAGCTGGCATTCCCTTTGGGTTCTGGTGATGGATGCTCGGATTGGCTCCCAGCGAAATTTTGATGGTTCTTTCATACGTTGGGACACTGTAAAGGAACACAGTCATGAATGTAGGCCACCAGGTTGGGGTCCCACTTGCCTAGATTCATGATCCTGGACTATCCCCTTCACTGGAGGCCGGGTGAAAACTCCTGGGCATGCTTGCACACAACATTAAACGTTTGTTGCCCTGCTCCCTTGCTCTGCAACATGCTGTGTGGTTGAGTTTGACTGGTAGCAAGCGAGTATGTTGCATGGACCGACAGTTTTGTTGGCCTTCATAAAATGACAGTGATTGTGGCTATGACTCTGCATCTTCCACGTGCACCAGCATATCGTGTCTGGTCGGTGAGTTGCAGGTAGGTAGCCTCAGATCAGCTAGCGGGGGAGTGAGTAATTGTTGCAGTCTTGCAGGAAGCAATGCTTTTAGAGAAGTCTGCACTCCGATCAGCACGAGGGAAAAGCGTTCGTTGTTGAAATCTTTTTCTCACGCTTGCTTTTGTTGTAGCATGTGTTTTTTTTCATTGCTGGAAGCCATGACAGGTGCTGCTGCTTATGGGCGAGGAGGTACGGTGCGCATCTGGTGGTTTGTCAGAAAGTTTGTCCTCGTACTGTGTGAACAACGGTGTGGCGGAGAGGCTAGCTTCGTAAATGATGGTGTGGCAGAAAGGTTATTGTCGTATGTGGTGATAAGGCAGGAGGGTTATCCTCGGAAACATTGATATGGCAGGAAGGTAATCGGGGATGGTGTATATTATGATCTGACAGGGAAGCACCTGGATGGAGATGAAGAGCTGCAACTTCGGGAGTACTGAACTCCAGAGGGTTAAGGTGGTTAGGCATGCGAATGGAGATAAAGGAAAGGGGTGCGACGTCGGGAGTACGGAACTCCAGAGGGTTATGGTGGTTAGGCATGCGAATGGAGATAAAGGGAAAGGGGTGCGACGTCGGGAGAACGGGACTCCAGAGGGTTATGGTTTTTAGGCATGCAAACGGAGATAAAGGGAAAGGGGTGTGACGTCGGGAGTACGGGACTCCAGAGGGTTATGGTTTTTAGGCATGCGAACGGAGATGAAGGGGTGCAACTTCTGGAGTACGGGACTCCAGAGGGTTACGAATGTTAGGCATGTCCGAGCACGCTGAGAAGCATATTCTCTGCTAATCAGGTCTGGTAAGTATGGTATGTGGGGGTGAACTGAAGACTTAACTACGAGACTGAACACTAAGGTAATGTGGACTGGATGGAAGATTATGTACTACTGACGATTATGGCGTTTTTCTTTTGTTTTTCTTTTTTTACTTGCTTTGTAATAACGATTAGTCTCCACCTGCAATATGTACTCTGCATATTGTGTTCAGCACTAGTCTATTTTTCATCTAGTTGTCCGAGGTGGAGCTTTCTGTTGCAGTTGTAATAGCTGGAACAGATAGGACGAAGAAGAAGCAATAGACTATGGAGCGCTGAGCATGTAAGGGTTATGGGAGTCATGTCTTGACTCTTGAGAATATTTTCACAGAGATTCATTATCATGCCAAAAGAGATGTGGTGGGACTCGCACTCTTTTGGAACAGGTGTTCATGGAAGGAGCAGTTTAAATGCTCCAGTTGTCAAATGAAAAGTATTCTGCTGAGCCGACAAACCCTCGTTTCTGTACTTGGAGCTTCATGTTTTCATTTCATTTCCTTCTCCCTCAACAGGATCTAATTGCCCGCAGAGGAAGAAATGTGGGGATCAGAGCCTACGCATATGTTGCAGGCTGTGCTTTATCTTGTGTGCATGTGCGTGTGTGTTTGTGTTTGTGTGTGTGTGTGTGTGTGTGTGTGTGTGTGTGTGAGAGAGAGAGAGAGAGAGAGAGAGAGAGAGAGAGAGAGAGAGAGAGAGAGAGAGAACATTGTTGCAAAGGCCTGCCAAATGCATGGTGGGATGTAAAGGGTTCTGGCCTGATGAGAAGAATTCAGAGAGGGAGGGAGTCTAGCTAGATTAGGCATGTGTAGGACGATGGAGAGTTGTGTTTCTTTATCTATAAATGGGGAGGGAGGAGGTTGCAAGGAAGCATAAGTCGGAATCAACCTCGATGAAGTTGCAATATGTTCGCTTAACATCTTGACAGAGTCTCAAGCTTTGGCCAGGACTTCCAGAATTCCAATCGTGGAGAGGCCGAGGAGCGGCCGACGGCATCAGGGCGTGCTGACATTTTGTGACTTATTCCTTATTCTATTTTGGACCAGAATATTGATTCTCAATATTTGGGCTATGTACCTTATTTGGGGATCTCCTGGTACTATGGATATGGTATGGCTATGGAGCAAGGGTGACGCTTCAAAGGTGCCAATTTTTGTTTGCCACATAATTAACCAATCGAGTGCTTGTTGGATCATCGAAAACGTGCTTCGTTTTCTGTCTGCTTTGTGCAATTTGTTTTCCATTGTGAAATTCGTGAGGGCTTTTTAAGAGGGTTTGTGAACTTTTTTGTTCTAAATACTAAAGGGATTGTCTTAAAAAAAAAATAATAATAAGAATAAATAACTGAAGGGATTGTCTGTATGGGGTAATTCCTTCTCAGGGTTGGTGATACTCAAATGGGTGTGCTTCAACATCAGGCCTGGTTTGGAAGTTCTGTCATTTCAGTCGATTCTGTGTCTTTATGGCTGTTTCCTTGGAGCATGATGAACTAAACTGGAATTTGGCCAATCTTAGTTTTTGCGATGTATGGTGGCTGGTTAAACCGCCAGTACCTTCGCCATATGTCGCCCGCGGGCCCTGCGTTCCGAGTTCTCGGGCCGCATCTCGCCAGTGTGCCGTCCCGGCTGAGGCCGCCTTGTTAAACCACCAGTACTTGGCCCATACATCGGCCGCGGGCGTTTCCCGTATACGCGCCGCGACTGATGGGCTTCGGCCTACCGGACCGCAATGGCTGGAGGCACCAGCCAAAAGAAAGTCGAAACGGCGTGGCGGCGGCGGCTCGGCAAAACTCGGCGCGCAGAGCATATTCGGGCTCGGGATCAATAGCTGGGCCAAGTACTGGTGGTTTAACTGGTGCGTTTCGGCAATTTGCCTGGGAAAGGTACTGGCGGTTGAACCAGTTGAATTCCAGTTAGAGTATCATTTGCGTCTGCAAAGCCGAGCTGCCCGTTTCTGGACATCGTGGTCGTGTTATGTTCATAGAATGATGTCATTGTCAACATTTCCACACAGTCCATTCATGAATAATGGCAACAAATAGAGAACTGAATTGTAATACCTCGGACGCTACACACTGCAATAAACTGTTACTTGCCTGAGCGACACGGCTTTCTTAACAAATGCAAAGAGAAGGCCTTAGGTGCTCCCTTCTTCCTCCGGACGTATCGCCCAAGATATACGAACCGCGTTTGCAGTCCTGAATGCAGTAGGTGACCAGTAAGCGTCCCATTTCCAGCAGGCAGAGCTCCCCACCAATAGATTTAAACAGTAATGATTAGCTCCTTCACTTGGATGAACTGGCGGTTTGATTATTCAGATCGAACATTTCCTGTGCTTCTCCGATTTTACTTTCTTGGAAGGACAAGGGAAAAAAGGGGGGAGGGGGGGGGGGGGGGAGAAAAAGGAAAGAGGTCCTTGGTGTACCAGGGCCTGGTTACTGTACTTTCCATCTCCCATAATCCATGGAGAAATTTTGCAAGGGGTAAAAACAGTTTTTGTTGCGGGTTGGACGCGCGGGTACACCAACTCGCTGTGCCAGAAGGTTAACAAGGGCTGTCCAAATGGTGTTCTGCATCCTCTCCAGCCATGAAGCCGAAATCCTCGCCAAGATGCAGAATACCTTCTGGACAGCCCTTGTTAACCTTGTGGCATCCTCTCCAGCCATGAAGCTGAAATCCTCGCCAAGATGGGAGATCGTCCCTGCCCGCCAAGATGTTTTGTGGAGTAGTTGGACGGACGTCGCTTCACGAAAATGGTTGCGGCAGACAGGGATGATCTCCCCAAAGTCCATGGCAGACGAAGAACCAAGTTTGGCAACCCCCCCTAAGCTTTTCTCTGCCCATAAAGTTTTGGCAAGTCGACAAGTCTAAGCATGCACCTCCCCGCCGGACTTGGTAGATTGCAAGTAGCATGACCATACCCTCAGATCCACAACAACTCACTTCTACAATGGTGGTCCCTGCATCAGGTGTCATCATCACTTTCCTGCTACGAACACTTTCCTTTTTTTTCTTCTTTTTTTTTAATTTATTCACTTTAGCAAAAACTTTGGGAGCTGCAAACCCTTTCCATCCGCATGTATCCCAAACAAAAAACAAGGCTTGCTAATGCTTCTCCCTTTGCAGATTTCTGCGCCACCCACCCCCGAAAAAGGAGCCCCTTCCTGGCCACTCTGCAAGTTCTCTGGACCTGATTTTCAACCTTTGTGCCTGGGTTATGTTAAACCACCACCACCCATTACCAGCTAATCCCTGTGCACACTTGCCGGTGAACACAAGGCTGTGGAAAGGCTTGGCCAACCAAACCACGATGGCCGGTTGCGCCTGGTAGGCCTTGCTCCCCTGATGGTCCCGAATGCCAGGGGAGGCCACACCCTTGGAAGCGAATCGAAATTGTCGGACTTCTGTAGCCCTAGGTTGGCCTCACTGAACCCTTGTTTCTTTTCACTTTTTGCACCCTCCCCCCCTTCCAGCAACCTATTACTGCAGTTGGAGATGATGGGCCATGGGCGGTTGCCAGAACAAAAGAAAGGACGCATCTATGACAAAGAACTGCAGCTGGTCCCCCGGGACATCCGTTGAATCACCTGTTTTTTTTTTTTTTTTTTTGGGACAAAATCTCCAATCTATTTGCGGGGAGCAACACGTGCTGGGAACCGGGCCCAGCGTCCCGTGTAGAATTATGCAAATGATTTGAAATACCGGGGCCATTATCTGGCTTCGGCTAAGAACAATTTGAGAACTTATGAGACCTTATGAGAAAAATTCAGAAAATTTCAGGAAAATTTAGGAAAAACGTGAATACTGCTGACCTATTGCTAGGTAAAACAGGAAAGCCACAGAAGTCCTTCGAATGCTCGGAATCCCTGGAATCCCCAACAAAACACTCTCAAAATTCTCTAACACAGTCTAATTCCCTGCCGAGCTCTCCCAGGCCTCATGCCCCCACCCTGCGAGGTTACAGGGCAACACAACTCACCCCAGCTCCGGCCAACGTAGTCCCAACAGTAACCCTTGGTTTTCCTTTGGAATGCCCGGCCCAAAGCATCCCCATATCTCTCTACCAGGCCTCACGCCCCTGCTATCAACAGGTTACAGGGTAACCCCCCAGCACCGGCCAGTGTCGTTCTGGCATCGAAAAAACGCAGGTCCATGAATATAACAGCATAAAAAAAGCCTAAAATGACCCTGAGATCCAGGGGATTAACTGAGCAGGGATCCTCCTTAGATGGTAATGAGAAAGACTTTTTTTGGGAGACTACGCGATGTGTGCGATGAAAATTTTGTAAGAACTGAACTAAGAACCTGCAAGAAACAATCTGATAATCCTAAAAAACAGGAAGAAAGGAAAACAAAAACTCTTTCTCCACACCACAGAGGAAAGACCGCTGCCCAGGCGTTCAGTCTTCCTACCAGAACTTGCCAGATCTCATACCCCCCCTGCTAGGGTGACAGGGCAACACCAACTGTCCCAGTACCGACCGACTGGTTCTGACGAACAGGAAGTGTCTTCCTCCCTCGACAACTTCCTTAGCTGCAAAGGCCCCCGAGGTTACAGGGTCACTGCCCCGGCATCAGCTACGTTGAAAAAGATGGTTATGCCTTCCACTCGGAATAGCTCCAATAGCCTCAAGCTCCCCCTGGTTACAGAACAACCCCTCTAGCACCGGCCATTGTCGCCTCACCCTGCCCTTCTAGTTAGACCTACCACCCTGTACACCAATCCATCCTTTGCCGGAGCACCACCACACTACCCAACAATCCCTAGGACCAACCTTCCCCTTCCTGCTCACCGAATCAATACAATCAATCAGATGGGAAACAAACAACCAGTATCTGCCTTTACTCCCATTCCGTCTTCCGGCATGACTTATTACCGCAGAGCTACCTACCCTGCGGCTGCGAAACCCTAGTTCCATCCTATGAGCTAGCCCTCCTCACCAGCAGGATGCGTGAACACCATCCAACTACCCCTCCTTCTAAGTATACATCCATCCCCTTCACCTGCAATGACAAATCAAAGTCCCACGTTCAGTCCTCGTACCCAAACGCAGCTGATCTCAAACCCCCACAGCTAGGGTTACAGGGACCCACTACATCCCCGGCACTGACCAGCCTAGTACAGACGGCAAGGAGTGCCTTCCACCCTCGACAACTCCCGAATAGCCGCACGCCCCTTGAGGTGACAGGGCTACAGCCCCAGCAACAGCTACGTCGATCGAATTGGTGCATCAGCCCAATCTCTCCCTTGTGACTTACTAGTAAAGACACGGTCTTCTCCCAGGTGACCCCCACACAACCTCTATTCCTATGGTTATTTGAAAGTCAATTTGTTACGAAAACCAAGATAGGACATGAATAACACCAAAAAGAAACAGATGTATTCATGGGACGCTGGGCCCGGTTCCCAGCAGGTGAAGCTCCCCACCAATAGACGGAGCGGCCCGCCAGGCAAAGCCTCAATCCCGGTGGTTCTCTTACCACCACCAGGATAGTGGCCTTGCATAACGGTCTTGTCTTCAAAAAAAAAAAAACCAAAAAAACCAAAAAAAAAAAAAACCAAA